TATCTTATACTGTGCTCAGGATCACCTTAAAGCCCGAATATATCGCCTTGAACGAAAAATATTGTTTGCCACAAATTGAAAAATGTACGGGAATGAAATTTCATTAATTTATATATTTATTTATTTAACAATTTAAGTACACACAAAGTAAAGTTACAATGAATAATAAAAATATATTTTTTGTACAAAAACACTGCTTATTTTATATTGAAATTTCTTCCGATAATGGACACATTCAAAGTGAAGCAGATTTAGTGTGCAATCTCATAATAAATATTATAATATAAAATAAAGATAATAAATATATATAAATCTATACATTCATACACACACATATACCTAAATACATAAAGATATCATCATCATCATCATCATTACAGTCCTTCACAAGTCAGCTGCTGAACATAGGCTTCCCCAAAAGAATGCCTCAAAGCACGGTCCTGAGCCACCTGCATCCATCGGCCCTGCATATCTTACTACTCCATCTAAAGAGGGGACGCCCTACACTTCGCCTACCCGTACGAGGCTGCCACTCGAGAACCTTGCTTCCCCATCGGTTGTCGGTTCTTCGAGCTATATGCCCGGCCCATTGCTTCTTCAGCTTACTAATCACTTGGACTATGTTGGGTACTCTGGTTCTACTGCAGTTATCCTCGTTTTTAAGTATATCACGCAGAGAAACCCCCAACATAGCCCTCTCCATAGGTCGCTCAGTTGGCTAGCAGTGAAGAACCATGTCTCAGATCCATAAGCCATCACTGGCAACAGGCACTGGTTGTATAGTCTCATTTTCAAGTTTTGAGGTATACATGACGAGAAAATGTGTTGTAATTTCCCGAACGCGGCCCAGCCGTGTTGATTCCGTCGATTGACCTCTCGGTCGAAGTTGGATTTACCTAGTCGGACAATTTGTCCCAGGTAAACATATTCTTCAACAACTTCGAGCTTAGTGCTCTTAACAACTACCGACATAGGTGTGACGTGGAGGTGATACATGATCTTTATTTTGTCCATGTTCATCTTAAGACATCCGTTGGGAGGTACTATTGAGATCATAGTGGTTTGGTCCAGATATACATTAATTAAAATAAATTGTCTTCAATTGCTTTGCCGCAATCGTTAATTAAGCGCTACGGCTTTATTAACCGTTGTTTAGGAATTTACTAACAATTTATTATATGATTTTGATAAGACTTGCAATTTGGATATCTATATTGTATTGAGCTCTGCTTATCTTACGTGAAAGTTTTTATTAGTTGGCAATACTCTTTTTCTGCCGAGTAGTGCGTCCGGGAAGGTGCCATCCTCTTACCCATTTCTTACGTAGTAACATTATTTAATGTGGTTTAAGTTTAAGTGAACTTTAAGTTCCATTGTTTGTTTTTATAGAATAAGGGTGACTAACGAGCACACAATCCGCCTGATGGTAAGTTGTTGCTGTGGTCCATAGACATCTACATCTATCTCTACACTCACCATACGAAACACAGCAGCTTTATGCTGTTATTTTACGCTGGTATTCTGAGAGAGTGTGGTCCTTCCCCGGTCGAGCCGACCCATTCGTGCTACAACTATACTACTAATATAGCTGCAGCATGGCTCTACCACGTAAATTGTTGTCTCTTCAATTTTATAAAAAAATAATCTATATATTATTATGGATAAATTGCTTCCATATTCTGTATTAGGCATTGGTTACTTACGCGACACATTGTACATATAGGATTTATTGTCCTAATTTATCTAATACAAATCGAATCGACGATCGAATTATACGAAAAAGAACCTTGAACCATTACTTACTTTTTTTGCGTATAAAATAATATTTCAATACCAAAATAGAAATAAAATCGATTTATAAAGTATCTGGAGTCCGGTAATGAATGGATAACATTGAAATAGCATATAATAGCCTTTATGGCCGATCTAAAAAAATATATACCAAATATTATACCTAAGATACGATTTTTTGAAAAAAAAAAATTTTTTTTTTCTTATTTTACATTCTACTTCACCACGACCACCATGATTAAAATACTGATATAGTATAAATTGTTAAAACTGAATAAAAACAGTTTCCTACTGTAATAAATGAAAAATCTTGCAAATATCAATAAGCATCTATGAAACACTATTTTATAACCAGTTTTATCATAGGCGTTATCATCGTTATCGCTTGTATCTAATGACTTTAATGAGTATGACTGCACAAATGCGTAACTAACGACGACATTCTTTATTAAAAACAAATATGTTGATGAAATCATCCGTCATCTATATTGCCTTAATCTATTCCGTAGCATATTAATGGGAACGTATATTATATGAGAAATATTTTTTAGGTTCATATTATCAACAATATAGTTTCTCATAGGTCAGTCTAGTTGTGGCTGTGACTTATCTAATGTTGAGGAGATTTTCCATAATATTTAGGCATGGTAGGCGAATTGGCTTCGGGTTGGTTCCTCGCATCTTAAACGCCGGATGTATTTAAGAGATGGATTCTTATACGCTGCCCCTCATACAATTGTTGATTACTGCATGCCAAAAGTCCACTGCTGACCATAGATCTCCCCCATAGATTACCTCACAGGGCTATATCTCATGCCATAATTGCCACGCTTGGCTGGCGGGTTGGAAACCACAACCTTTTATTAATATTCCCTTATGAGGCCAATAAGGGTGGCTTATGTTAAGTGTGGACTTTTGATAGGCTGTAGTCATCGGTCACTAAAAAAAAACTAGATACACAATCCCATGCAAAAGTTCTCTAAAATCTGTCGCCAATTGTTTTGACGTGATTCTAGTTGAAAGAAATGTACATTAATGTAAATTCAACCTTAAATGCATGGCCTAAAGTTGTATTCACAAAGCTACGTACAAATTAAAAGCGCACCCAAATGTTTGAATGGGCGCTCATTCGGTAAGGACATTTTATGTCACTGATTGTGTATCTAGTTTTCTGTCGACTTCCAAAAAGGAGACGGTACTCCATTCGACTGTATGTTTTTTTTTAATGTGTGTTACCTCATAACTTTTTACTTGGTGAACCGGTTTCGATAATTCTTTTTTTTATTTGAAAGCTGGTACTTCTCGTGTGGTCATCAACCTATCAATTCCTCTCCTGGATCAAGGTCAGACCAATAGTTTTTGAGTTATTCTTAATAACTTATACTGAAGTCGGCTGTACAAAATTTTTAATTTTAAATTAGTTTGTTAGTGATCGATGGCTGTAATAAATGAAGAATGAATAAATGAAATTTTTCATTGCTAGCACGTTTCCTTCCGTAACAGCCGTTATAGGGCAACCACTTCTATCTTCAGCATTCGGAAGCCTGCTGAACATAAGCATCGTCCGTTGATTGCATTATACGGGGAACTTTGCCGTAGCAGCCACGCTTGGCAGTCGCGTTGACAACCGTAGTTTTTTGTTTTGGTTGTTATCAGGAAGATGCTGCTGCCCATCACCTGTTTTAGATTTCTGCCCCTAAATGATACTGCTTTTAAAATAAAGTACTAATACTTAAATGTACGAGCCGTATAGTGATGCCGTATATGAATCCTTCACCCTATTTTGTTTCGTGGTCGTCGTGTTTGAAATTTGTTCTGGACGCCATTATTATTGTATTGGTGGTGGTTGTTTTGACATTGTACCTAATTTTCGATTACCTACGGCAACAAATCCGAATAATCTAAAGCTACTGACTAAACGAAACGTTATAGTGAATTGAATTTGCGTGCACTTAGTGGCACTCACTCGTCTTAACCCATCTCAGATCTTACCGAATAGAGTGACATTATCTGTTGGCAACTTATACAAACCGTGTAGTGGCGGTGTAAAAATATCTACTACTCCAAAACGTCCCGTGGTTGTCGTGAGAGGCGACAGAGTGAAACATACCAGGAGACGGGCAGTATAGCGTCTCCCTAATAACATATGGTAGAGCCATGCTGCAGCTATATTAGTAGTATAGCAGCGTGAAATAGCAGCTTGACATTGCTGTGTTTCGTATGTTGAATGTAGAGAACCGGAGACCCATTTTACTGGAAGAGGCATTCCATCTTAATCCTCACGGGTGACAACGCATCTGCATTTTGATTCGCAAACGAGGATAGATGTAGATGTCTATGGGCCACAGCAACCACTTACCATCAGGTGGACTGTGTGCTCGCTTGTCACCCTATCCTATAAAAAAAACAACAGCTAAAATGGTGGACACAATGCCAAATATCCCCCTTATGAGGCAATCTTTGGGAAGGCCATTGTTCTGCTGTGGACTGTGTTAGGCTCTAAACTCTAATGAATGGATGGATGGATGAATGAAATTTAAAAAAAATTGTAATTTATTTTTTATAGTACCTATCGCATTTTGCCGCAGTTTGGCTTTCATTATCATTGGTGCATACACTTTTTGTGCGTGATCGAGCCACGCTGCAGTGTGTTATGGCTTCAGCTCGAATGTTTCGGCTCGACCGAGGAAGATTCACGCTCGCATTGAATACCGAAATCATAAGATATCAGTTTTGATTTCGGTATTCAATGCGAGCGTGAATCTTGCTCGATAGAGCCGATCTATTATATTATTCTGATATAGATATACTTGTGAAACAAAATAAGACATAAAAGATTTAAACTTCATACAAAACCTTAGACGACCACATTCACACAAGTGTGCTAAATGTAGACAAAACCATCTTTCTCTAAGCAGAATCAAAAAATCTAATTACGTTTTGTTTCATGCAACACTGTCAAATAATTGGTACCAGCAAAATGCTGCAGCCCATGTCTTGGCTCAGTTCTTCACCGCCTCCCCTAACGGCACCCGCGGAATGATAATATAATATCATTCCAATATATTGGTTTCTATTAAGACGCCTTCATACAGCAATAAATATTTAAATCAATTGATTATAATTGTCATCAGAATATTAATTTAATTAAAAAATAATAATTTCACTAAACCACCGAATAGGAAGTTGACCTTTTTCAATTGTTACAGCTATGGGAGTAGTGCCATCACCAATAGACTGTTATTTAGTCAATAGAAGCTTAAAGACTTTAGCTCTACGTATGGAACAACATCTGAAGTCCTCGTACATCATAGCTAAATGGCTTGAAAACCATCCTAAGGTTACGGAAGTTTTACACCCCGGTAAGTTACTCGTAAAATAGAAAAAAATTGACAATAAATACTACTTTAGTTACTTTATTAATAATAATGAATATTTATTTGTAGGTTTGCTCTCTCATCCACAGCATGAAATAGCAAAAAAGCAGATGTCGGGACATTCGGGCGTATTTAGTTTTAAACACAGCGGCGGTTTAGAAGAGTCTAGAAAATTTTTGAGCTCTCTTAAAGTTTTTATTCTAGCCGAAAGTTTAGGCGGATACGAAAGCTTAGCAGAGTTGCCGTAAGTATCAATTATTCACCATTTTTAGGGTTCCGTACCTCAAAAGGAAAAAACGGAACCCTTATAGGATCACTTTGTTGTCCGTCTGTCTGTCTGTCTGTCTGTCAAAACCCGTTTTCTCAGGAACGCGTGAAGGTATTAAGGTGAAATTCATATCACATACTCAAGTCTACTGTCCCTTAGAGCTGTGAAAAAATCAATCTTCTAAGCCAACGCAGTCAAAAGACACAGCCGTTTATGCCGTAAATTTTCGACATTCACAAGGGAATCAAAACCTACAGCGTACTTCCCGTGAACTCAGAATCTTGAAATTTGGTACGAAGCAACATTTTATAGCACAGATAAAGGAAAAATTGCGAAAAGCATAAATTTTTAGTTACATCATATAATAAAAATATTTTTAATAATTTTAAACTTATATACCTACAGATTTGTTCGGAACCCTTGGTGCGGGAGTTTGACTCGCACTTTGCCGGTTTTTTTCAATTGTGTCTGTGTCTGTCTTTCCATCTTGATTACAATGTGAACGTTTTTAAGGCTTTTGTTAAGCTAAGTACGCTTTACCTTCTTCGGCTACATCACCACTGACTATCAAGTAGGATAGTTGTCAATATCCTTGGCGTATTAATATTATATAGCTCGACGGTCAGTTGAACTGATCAGTTAAAACGGATGTAAGCCAAAACTATTTCCCCACTCAAGGAATTCAAATTTCAACTTAAGATTTCACACTCACGCATCGATCACTAATAAAAAACTAGATACACGATCCCATGCAAAAGTTCTCTAAAAACTGTCGCCAATTGTTTTGACGTAATTCTATTTGAAATAAATATACATTAATGTAAATTCAAACTTAAATGCATTGCCTAAAGTTGTATTCACAAAGCTATGAACAAATTAAAAGCGCACCCAAATGTTCGAGTGGGCGCTCATTCGGTAAGGACATTTTTTGTCACTGATTGTGATCTAGTTTTTTTATTGGTGATCGATGCACTCACGGCCAGTTTTTGGATATATGTCAGTTCAATTGTTTAGTTTAACTGACCGAGCGCCCATAAAAATTCGTGGGTTGCCGACAGTTAAAAGATTTCAACTAAAGATTTCACACTCACGTTCAGTTTTTGGATGTATTAACAGTTTAATTGATTAGTTAACTGACCGAGCACCCGTAAAAATCCGTGGGTTGTCGTCAGTTAAAAATTTCAACTAAAGATTTCAAGCTCACGGTCAGTTTTTGGATGTACGTCAGTTCAACGTAGTAGTAACATATGAACATATGTTGTGGAAATTGTCGTTTTCTAAAGAATTTACTTCGCGGTTAGTCTTTTAGGTTTATTTTTTGCTTACTTTTTATGACCTTCCATTTTTTTTTTTATGAACGAGTGAATGTAGCATTTGTAATTAAATATTTTAATAAGTACAAATATATTATAAAATAATATAAACTAATAAAAACTAGTAAAAATAATAAAAACTTCGTAATGTATGTTGTAAATACGATACTTCGTGATTTGAGTTGAGTAACTAATCTGATAGGCACTTTTAGATAAGGTATTATATCAAATCAGTGTTATGGGTTACAATGAAACTAAATAATTTAGAATTTGGTGTGTATCATGCTTATAGTGTCGTTTGTACACAGATCGGTGATGACCCACGCATCTGTACCTGAAAAGCAAAGAGCTGAACTTGGAATCACAGATTCACTGATTAGATTGTCGGTGGGGCTGGAAGATACGGAGGATCTGATTGAAGATTTGGATCAAGCTTTTAAAACTGCATTTTAAACTAAGTTTAAAATATGGTTTTAGCATCAGATTTCGCTATTTTTTATTATTTATGTTTTTAAATTGATAGTAATATAATTACTAATGTGCAACACAATTGGAAAGTAATATAGGTAATTTTTCTTCCAATAATATTGTTCCTGATAGTATAATTATTTTAGTTGTAAATTATACACTTTCCTTTTACCTATTTATATACAAGCTAATTTACAAAGACAACTGTTTCTTAATGAAGTGGACATATTGTTGTACAAATAAATTATATAAACGTAACCCTAGGGTAAAGGTTTTATGGTTGAACTTTGTAAAACTGAACTAATGTAAATATTTGCTCCTCAAATGACTTTGTGTAATCGGTCTCTACCAAATCTCTTTGAAAAACAAGATAATGTTATGTTAATTCATTTTCGTATAAATACATATGTTATTGCATTTAAAGTTACGTTTAAAACTAAAATTTATGTGCAACTGAGTTATTTAAAATTCCCGTGTACACAATAACATTATACTATTTATTCACAATAGGCACTTTAGCATAGATCAAGTGAGGCTATCGCATAAGGAACAAAGGCCAATTTCGAGTACTTCCTAGACATTTTTAAAATATTTTACTAACCGTTGATCTGTCCTACCTCGTTTTATATACAGAGTACCGACTATGTTTATTTATATGCAATGTATAGTTTTAATATTAAAAATTGTTTTCTTATTTGATTATTGTTTAGCGAATGTTTAATTGCACTCATATTTATTATTTTTATTTAAAAATTAAAACAGATACCTAGTATCTTTTATAATTTTGTGAAATAAATGTGATCTGATCTAAATATTTATTTTATTTATAATTATTGCACTTAATTTATACTTACGTGCTTAAGCCACGCTCTACCGGGGAAGGACGAGGTTGGCACAGAAAACGAACGAGAAATAGCAGCGTATTGCTGCTGTGTTTGGGATTGATAAGTGTTATGTACTAGGGACCCTTTTTACTAGTAACGAAGAGTATCAGGATTTCTCTAGCCATGTTCACATGCTCGCTAATGAACATCTCATCATCTTATTTTTATTAAAACAATATTTTCAAGGTCGGCCCCCCCCCCCCCCCTTCATGATGAAGTTACGACCTAGTAAGACATGCAGGAAGTCGATGGATGCAGATGGCTTAGGACCGTGCTTTGTGGCATTCCTTGGGCAAGGCCAATGTCCAGCAGTGGACTTATGAAGGGCTGTGCAATTATGATGATGAAGGAGGTCTAGCCAAAGCTTACAGTCACATCGGTACAATGTAATTATTTAGGTAGGTAATAGTGGCGTTGTATGAATATCCACTACCCTGTAACGTCCCGTGGGTGTCGTAAGAGGCGACAGAGTGAAACGAACCAGGAGATGGGCGAAAAAAAATTGCGGTTGCCAGCACGCCTGCCAAGCGTGCATCTTTGCAAAATCTTGAGAAAGCATCTTAGCAAATGTTTGGGGGAGTGGCGCTCACCCGGGAAGGAGAAGGAGAGTGTATAGGAAGTTAAATTAACTTTATAACGTACATATGCCGATAAATAAAGTATCCATTAATTTTGCCAATTTTTTTGTTTAAATGATTTAACTACAATAAATGACTTTTCTATTCTGTTCTTATCTTTGAAGTTGGTTGTACATGCTACCATAGAAATAAAACAATATTTAACATCGAGTTGACAATTGAGTTGTCACTAATATTATCAATAAGTACCATCTAAATCTGATTTGATTGTCCTAAAGATAAGATTATCAAGTTCCTTTTAAACGAATAGTATTGTAAGATAAAACACAATATATGTATATTATATGTTTAATGAAAATCTGTCAAGAAGCGAACATCGGCACTAAAGATATCTTTTTACATTTTATAATACTGGTGCTAGAATTTGAATTGGTAAGAAAATGAATTTTGTTATTTTGACAATCTATACCTATTGTTCAACGTTCATAAATTTTTTCAGATTCATCAGATGTTTTGAAAAAGAAACAAATATTGTACTGTGCATTGAAATTTTTTCAGATTTTTATTTAAATGCCAGACGAATCTCAAAAAATCGCCCACCAATATTTACACGGATCACTAACCTCCTTAAATACTAGTTAGACTGGCTAATGCAATATATACAGTAATCTATGAGCTATTGACTATATCCTATACAAAATATTTGTGCAGATTTGAAGCGCCGCCATTGAGTATACGAGGAACTAAATTTGACATAATTTGCAAATGGCCGTTGTTTTGCTCAAAACGTCTAAGAGTAATTTAAAGTTTTAAACGAGAAAAAGAGTGTACTATGTTGTGTAATTCGGTTATGTTTCATTTTAGTAATATAATGACAGGTATTTTAATAACAATGGTAGTGTGCGTGATTTGTGACATTTCTTACCAGAATGGAAGTGTGGTGCCATTCCACAAGGGGATTTATAGGATATATTAAAAAAATAATTTTTATTGATAATAAGGGGCTCTTAAAAATCTGTCGCTTATCTTATTAAATCTAATTACTAACATATTTGGCTTTAAATTAGCTATTTTTGTTAAACAATAAAATTCAATAGAGTTCCTAGTCGATAATACTTATCGATATTTTTTTTTACCTATATCTGTTTACATTTTACAATACAAGTCGCTGACAACAGATAAATAAATATTTACAGGGTTTCAACTAACAACATATTAAATACCATAAAACTTGTGAATTCGCGCCCGAAGCAAATTGATTATATGACGTCAATGATTTGTGGTATGGTATTATTTAATGTAATTTTAAACTTGTAAAATTCTAATTGTACTTCTAAACGTTGTTGAAATAGACGTTATTTTGACAGCTTATTGATTTTCTCTTGTACGAGGACTAAATGAATGGTTAATAATAAATTCTTTATAAAATTATATTTTATTTTTATTTTGTAGTTACATACTCCGCTTTTTCCTACACATTGGACCTTTTTAAATCTCTCGAATAAACCATACACTACCAATGGTGAAATCCGGAAAATAACCCTTTCTATAGTTTTGTAAGAAAAACATCGATAGACTAACACAGCTTCGATTTTTGTTTTATATGAGGTTTAAAGCTTGTGTCTAAGTACTAATTGATACATTTATTTATTGTATGGCATTATATTAAAATGAACATAGAAAGATTGGACGTTACGAGTAAGCCTGGGTATAGAATTTTTATCGATATACTTTGTCAGAAAGGACTATCTCTATTATTATTTCCGTGAACGCTCACTACTGCTGTCAGCGCCTAAATGGCGAAATTCAAGTTGCATTTTATCACGGTGTCCAGTGTATGTACTTGTATATATGGAGGTCAGTGACACGGACTCAATCGGAAATAGAATTTTAGACTTCCTATTTTTATTTCAGTAACTGCATACAGATTTATTCTGTTATACTTTCATTAGCGTTTCGTTTACGGAAAGTGTTCGGAACCCTATACTACTAAAATGATAGATATTATGATAAATTACTGAAACTGTCATTTCCAGTATACCTGCATTCTGTGTTTATCAGCAACATTTGCCATTATCGTCGGTTAAGTGGCCACATAGTGTTTGTATTTGCAGGTCAGTGCCTGTAGCCCGTACAATAATTGAGTAACTGCACTTCTTATTAGTTTGTGGTACTGCAGTGCTGGCACGAAAAACTTACATTATAACTATATTAAAGGTAAATTTTCTTTTTATGACTTTCAAGTTATCTTAGCGTACATATATTACCTTTGTTAACATTGACTTTTAATTGTTTATGTATTTCTAATACATTTAAATTATTTTTTGTTATGATCGTAAACATACATTGAACAACTTTACTTTCTAAGTAGGTATATCCAAAGGGTATATCCATTTTAAATCTATATCCTAAATAATATGATACGACAGCTTAATATTGTTTTTATTTTGTATTTTAAAAGGGTTAATTATTTCATTTTTGTTGTAATATATAAAGTAGGTTACATGTTGTTAGCTTGTTAAAGTGTCAACCATAGATATAAGCTAATATAATCGGGAGATGTCAACGCGCAAATAGTACACAGCTTATCAATATTCAATATAGATTTGCCTACTAGTAGGTACTTCAAAACGCTAAAATGATACCGGTTTTATATTTAAATCGACTCGAAGACTATTCTTAGCTGTTATCGTACCTACCGAGTTTAATACTATTTATTCGTATTTTAAAAGTATATTCGTATTTTAAAAGTGCATATATATACTAGGTATATGTCTAATGATTGGGTTAGCAATTTTGTATTTAAAATATACCTATTTTATTTTTTAAGTTTTAACTAGGTATCAGTGATAATTTTTTCCCTAATGTCTAACTCTGTCATCACCGCGCCTTTGCATAAGGATCCATCACTTATTTCTTCCTGGTGACATCGTATTTCCTATCAATTTAAATGAAACTAATCACCATTCTGAACATGAAGATAATGTACTTGGATTCGTCAACATAGCGATACTAGGATACTCCAATATCTGAAGATTCTGTGTCTTTATGTACCTATGTCTCTATGTGTATGTAATAACGGTGGTAGAGCCACGCGGCAGTTTTTGCTGTTGCATGTATGGGTCGGCTCGAGCCGGGTTGGTACCACGACCTCACAGAATACCGGCGTGAAGTAGAAGCTCTGCTTCTGCGTTTCGTCTGGTGAGTGTAGGTGGCCGGAGGCCCAATTCCCCTCCCCCCCACCCCATCAACATGGTAGCGGAATTACACCAAAGACTACCCCAGGAGGGTACCAGCACCCCTGGAGAATCCCTCGCTGAGCATCCACGACCATGTTATTCCACTCCTGAGCGTGGGTGCTCAGGCTGCCCCGCGTATTCTGGGGTGGGGGGGGGGCAAATTCCGCGCTCAAAAACATAACTGCTCGGGGCAAATTGAGCAACAATACCAAGGCGACCCCTGCCACGCTATCCGTGAATTTCTGCAACATCAGGGGACTTCACTCGAACCTAAACGCCGTCCACTACCATCTCGAGACGGCGAAGCCGGCCTTGCTCTTTCTGACCGCGACGCAGATGTCCTCTCCGGCCGATACTTCGTATCTCTCCTACCCGGGGTACGAATTGGAGCACTCCTTTGTGCCTCGGGCTGGAGTTTGCGTATATGTCAGGGACGACATCTGTTCTCGACGCCTCGGCAGTCTTGAAGGTTCAGACCTGTCCATCCTTTGGCTACGCGTAGACAGCGACGACCATGCGCGCATCTACGGGTTCCCCTATAGGTCCCATAGCGGTAATGCCGAAACAGACCGACTCATCGACCACGTCCAAATGGCTACAGATTCCATGCTACAACAGGTTCCATCTGCAGAGATCGTGATCCTTGGCGATTTTAACGCCCACCACGCCGAATGGCTCGGTTCACGTTTAACCGATCATGCGGGGAGATCTGTTTATGACTGCCTTGGCATATGGTCTGACACAACTGGTTACTTCGCCTACGCGGATTCCAGATGTGGAGGATCATACACCTTCCCTGTTTGACCTTCTGCTGACCTCATCCGGATGGATATCAGGTTTCCGTCGATGCCCCTCTCGGCTCTTCGAACCATTGTCTGATCCGGAGTGTGGCGCCACTCACGCTCCCCTCGTGGTTGCGTTCTGCAGGTTGCCGCCGTGTTTGGCATTACAGGTCGGCGGATTGGGACGGAATGCGGTCTTTCTTTGCATCCTACCCATGGGGGCGGGTTTGCTTCTCGCCGGATGATCCCAGCGCTGTTGCTGACTCTGTCACTGATGTGGTGCTACAGGGAATGTAACTATTTATTCTATCATCTGTGGTACCCATCGGAGGCAGATCTCAGCCTTGGTTTGGTCGCTCCTGTAAGACTGCATTACGCAGTTAGCAGGAGTGTTATCAAGCCTGGGCTGCAGCTTCGGCGTCTCGGGATGTAAACACCAGCATACTTAAAAAGAATTATAACTTCGCCTCCAGGTGCTTGAAAAGAGTTATTGCCAAGGCAAAGTCAGAGCACATAGGCAGAATTGGCGAGAAACTAGATCGCCTTCCTTCGAGAACCCGTGCATTCTGGTCTCTTGCCAAGGCTGTCCAAGGGAATTTCTGTAAGCCATCACTACCATCTCTGCACAGGGAGGTGACTCACTGGCCCAAGCCACAAAAGACAAAGCCGACCTTTTAGGCTCCCTTTTTGCGTCCAACTCGACTCTGGATGATGGGGGAAAACACCGCCGACCATCCCGCGGTGTGAGTGCTCCATGCCGGATGTGCGCTTCTCACAGCACTCGGTTCGTAAAGCACTCCTCTCCCTGGACTTCCAGAAGTCGAGTGGGCCTGACGGAATCCCCCTAATTATGCTGAGGACGTGTGCTCTGGAGTTGGCACCTGTCCTAAAGCGTCTTTTCCGGTACTCCTACTCCATAGGCGTAGTCCCGAAATCATGGAAGACAGCTTTTGTCCATCCGATCCCTAAAAAGGCGACTCAGACCCGTCCAACTACAGGCCTATCGCCATCACCTCCTTTTTCTCCAAAATAATGTAATCCATTATTAACTGCCAGCTCATGCGGTACCTTGAGGATCACCAGCTTATTAGTGACCGCCAATAAGGTTTTCGTCGGGGTCGATCAGCTGGTGATCTTCTGGTCTACCTGACTCATAGATGGGCGGTGGCAGTAGAGTTTAAGGGGGAGGCGTTGGCCGTTAGTTTGGACTTTTTGGCTTCCCGAGAAACTGTGCAATTGGATCACCAGCTTCCTTGCAGATCGGAGCATCTAAGTCGTTGTAGACGGTGCATGCTCCGACTACAAGCCTATTAACGCTGATGTTCCACAAGGCTCTGTGCTATCACCAACGCTGTTTCTTCTGCATATCAATGATATGTTGCTAACTGGTAACATCCATTGCTATGCAGAAGACAGCACTGGTGATGCTTGGCCGTGCCAATATTTTTCGGGAAAACGTCGCCGAGTACCGGAACAAACTTGTGTCTGAAGTCGAGACTTTGCTGAACAAAGTCTCGGATTGGGGGCGACTAAATCTAGTCCAGTATAATCCTCAGAAGACACAAATTTCGCGTTTACCGCTAAAAGGAACCCCATTGTCATGTCTCCTCAGTTTCAAGGCACTCCCCCTTCTTGCCTCAGCCAGTATCGGAATCCTCGGAGTGGACATATCTAGTGACGTGCAGTTTCGTGGTCACTAGGAAGAGAAGGCCAAATTTGCCTCTAAAAAGCTTGGCGTGCTCAGCAGAGCGGGACAGTATTTCATGCCGGCACACCGCCTGCAACTTTACAAGGCGCAGGTTCGGCCTCACATGGAATACTGTTCCCATCTCTGGGTAGGGGCTACCCAGTGCCAGCTCCTTCCACTTGACCGCATCCAGCGCAGAGCGACTCGAATCGTCGACGACCGAGTCCTTTCCGATCGGCTCGATTCATTGGCACTGCGAAGAGATGTTGCATCCCTGTGCATTTTCTTTCGCATTTACCACGGGGAGTGCTCAAATTTGTCGAACGCACATCGCGGCAGAACTCCCGTTACCATCCACACCATCTGGATGATTGGCGGTCCACCACTGTGCGACTTAGAAGATGTTTTCTTCCTCGCACGACTTCCTTGTGGAATCGATTACCATCAGTGATTTTTCCGGACCGATACGACTTAGGCACCTTCAAGAAAAAAAAATTAATTATAATATAACGCGATAAATTAGCTGATGGGTAGCGCAGCGCGGATTTACACGGACGAAACAAGAATTTGTATGACCTGCTGGGAATAATTGTTAATACTAATAGTTGTGTATAGCAGAATTCAAAGTTCAAGCTCGATAATTATCAAAGTTAGTCGAAGATGCGAAAAATGCCTATAAAAACACCACATCTGTCTTTACAAGTCAGGACTTTACGAGACTTTTTAGTGACAGTTTGTTGTTATACCTAATTGTGCTGTTTATAACAGATGACAATTCGCTGGGGCATCGTTACCGCTGGGAAGATCAGCCATGACTTCGTCAATGCTTTTAATTCGTATCCTAATAAAGGTGACCAAACGATAGCGGCGGTGGCTGCTCGCGACAAAAGCAGAGCGACGGAATTCGCTAAAACACATAATATTGCCAAAGTATTCGACTCTTACCAAGCTATGGCTGCCAGTAACGATATCGGTAAGTTTTTTTTTTGTGCACTTTAAAATTACAAAAACAGGATTCAAGTAGAATTGATAGCTGAAAGTACCTACGTATTACCTACACAATAATCACAATATCTACAATTTCTTAATAGAAAAAGTAAATATTTCTATTTCATTACATAATAGATACTTTAATAACGATAGGTTTATCTTATTCTAATTAAATTGTGAATAGATTACATACCTGATCATTCTGATATATCTTAAAGTTATCAATTAGGTACTAATCAATTTTTTTTTTGAAAAAATCTTTTATCATTCGGATGTAAATATTTTATACTAGCTTTTTACCCGCGGCTTCGCTCGCGTGCGCTTGAATTTAGGGACATCATTAAATGCTGTTCCGTGTCAAATTTAAAAATATTCGATCACTTTTAGAGTCACCTTGGTGTCTATGTCTCTATGTCTGTCAGAGATTTTTTCATTCTAAAATACTATTAGACGTAGATGATTGGTAACATGCTACAGAAACTCGTGAATATACTTATAATATGTCTAGAAACTCCTACTATTTTTTATATATGGCGTGTCTTCCGATTCCGATGTATCCATAAGAAAGGTAAATAGTCTTGGAATCAAAAAGTATTATTATTACTTACATTTTACTCTTTACATATATATATTCATAATTAAAGTAAATTTAGTTTTAACAAAGTAATATAATGTTTATTTGAGACATTTTATTCATATCATTGGTCCTATTTAATATTGATTGGCACCATAAAAAGATATAGATATTTTTATTTACTTCGAGTAGAATTGAAAATTTCATAAATACAGTTCTATAATAATGAATACCACACATGGATTAAAACTAATGTTACGGATTTTTTACACATCTTGACTCCTCACCGAATGAAAGCATCGAAGCTCCGGGAAGTCTAAAGTATGTAAACATGTTTAGTATCGTCCCAACCATTATATACAACAAATTCTTGCAATAAAACACCGAATCCTACCAATGATGATTCGCGAGGCTATTGAAATTAAAAATATCCTAATTTTAATAGGGAAGATGGCCGAGTGCTACTATCTGCTAAGGACTCCATGATTAATAAAATTAAATTCAAACTACTACTGCATTTTAACTATTCTATTTTAACTATGACATCAGGTTATCAAACACCTCAGTTCTCCCACCCCTCCCGTGACCATGGGTGCATATGAGCTATAATACATAATGCTATAAATTGCCCAAACCATCGGAAATTTAAAAAGTTAAAATTAAATGCGATAAAGTCCTTAAAATTACTTTTATTCCTTATAAATCTTATACACAGTGAACGTGAGGAACACTACACTCATGAACGGGAGTAGAAAAATGTTCGCACTGTTGTGGCGGTGAAAGAAAATCCAACACATCATATCGTCCCGTCGTAAGAGGCGACATAGGAAAAAAACAGTACATGGGATGATCTGCATCATCTTCTTGACAACAGATCAAAATAATAATAGCTGCGGTTGCCAACCCGCCACTATAGCAAATATCCAGCTACTTGACAATTTATGGTGGAGGCCTATGTTCATTTCAGTGGACTTTTGATAGGCTGACGATAATGAGTTCTACTCATCTTTGCAAGCCTATATATTTACGGTAGAGTGAAAAAATAAATTATCATACCCGAAAACACGAATGAAATAGAAACTGCATATATTGCCCCATGAAAAGTAAAAAAGCAGCTTACATACATGCTACTACTGGGCACAGGCGGTAGAGTTTTTGGCCAAAAAAGAGTTCGCTGCACTGATTCCAACGCGGGATGAACGTAATGTAAATGATTTAATTATTTACATCGTATATTTAGTAGCATTGTATTATTTCATTTTATGAATGTCTTGCCACTTTAATTTATTTAGAAGTAAGTAGGTGGCGCTAATATTACATGAAATAATTAAAGCCAAAACTATACCATCTAGTAATATCAGCAATAGAAAGGAACATTTATTTATTATATCAATAAGGGATAAAGTGATGTCAATTCTCTTAAAAGTTCTGTTTCTATTAAAAATACTCGTAAGCTATCAGCGCCGCTAGCGGTGAAAAACGATAATGATATCGTCATATGACCATATTATGAAATAGCAACGTTGTGTTTAGTTACTAATAACTTCAAGATTTCTATTCATTGATTTTGTCAAGCTATATAATGACACGGTCATCAAATAGTGTTAAATACACATTCATTTCAGTAATTTTTTCAGTGTTTTCACGAAATGATAGACTACTTTATGATATATGATCAATTCTACGATCTGGCCACGACTTACATAAAAATCTATACATATAATAAAACTGTAAATAGCAGATGTCTGTACATTTTATATTTTTGTAATAAAAGTGATTGAGGGGTACTAAAAATAAGTAATTAAATACATTTCTACCATTTTTAGAATTTTCTGTCTGTCTGTCTGTCTGTCTGTTTGTTTGTTAACGTATCAAGTATAAAGTACTAATTTATATCATAAGAATTGTTAAGGAAATTATAAAGTGTATCTTCGGGTTACATTTAGTCTTTATTTCATTAAAATCAGTTCATTCCATCAAAAGTTATGATAAATATTCTGAAGTATGGGTAGGGAAGTATAGGTACGAATTTGCTCAACGGTGGCTTTATTTGAGTCATCAAGTGCATTTTAAACTAATATCATATCATAAATCATAGTTAAATTATGTAAAATTATGATATAATTATGTATATCTAAAACGCAGTAAACAAAAGTAATAAAGAACGTATTAAATATATTATACAAAAATATATTAACCTTATTAACTAAATCTGAAGCACAATAGTTAACCCATTTCTTCGATAGATGGTGGTGTTGTGAAAATGTAATGCAATTGCAAATGTGGTTTTTTCATGTAGATGAGTTTTCATATTTACTGCTAATCTTTATTATATTACTCGCTGCCCTACTGCGTGTTGACAAACTCAATTTATTCTTTACCGCCAAGTACTCTATGTGGTAAATCAAATTTTAAAAGAGCTATTAACAATTGCATTGGTTATGGCGAGAGTCAAACTTTATTTTTTGCTTACTGTGCAGGCACTGATTTATAAGTTCTCTTACGTTTTATATAATGTATCAATCGCGTCAATTAATCTCTTTTATTTTTAGAATTGATGATGTTAGCAGCGCCATCTCTCTTTAAATATATACATATAATAAAAATGATGATAACATGTTGTCTCTTTCTGTACATTGTATACATATTTTGGTGGCTAAAATCATTATGGGGAACTGAAAATAATTAAATAAGAACATTTTATAATTTTTAGAATTGTCTGTCTGTCTATTTGTCTGTTACTATATGAACGCATAACGTCTAACGTAAACATCTTTTATTTTCAAAGAAATCGTTAAGAATATCATAAAGCGTATCTTCGAGTTACATTTAATCTTTGTTTTATTAAAATTGGTTCATTCTATCGAAAGTAATGATTATTATTTTGAAATGTAGGTTCGAATTTGTTCAATGGCGCCATAAAATCTCAGAAATAGTAATAAAACGATTTCTGTGTAAAAAAAACGTTCCATAATAATTAATATATTTATACTTAAAACACAAAAAGAGATAGGATGTTTTCTCACACAAAGGACGTAATAGATGGAGTTGTACAAATTACAAACTTTTCTGAATTGCTGTGTTGAGATTTTTCGCCGATGAATCGTATTGAGACTTACTGAAGAAATTTGTATACATCGAAGCAATACAACGGAACCCGACCAAAAAATAAAAATTTTGCAACGAAATGTCGTGATATTGTATTTATAATATACGCAAAATCAGAACTGCCATTTTAGTTTTTAGCGAACTTTTTTTGGGAACTAGATTTAGCACTTTTTTGGAATGTATAGCGCGCATTTCGAAATTTTAGCACCTAGCGCTTAATCCGCTTTTTGGTGTATTTAGCACACATTTCAATATTTTAGCGACTAGCGGGTTATGAACTCTTTTATAGCAGCACTGTTAGTCCACATTACCGATAATAATAATAATGACCTTTATTATTTTTTCCCACAAATAGTACCTACATTGCAGTTTATCTTTTTCAAACATATTTTTTCCACAAAACAAAGAGCATGGGAGACGAGTCCAAACTAGGATACCCTGTGCTATGGATCTCCTGGCTTCCCCTTTAGGATGATCAACTTGATTTTTTACCGACGACTATAAGCGGGGAAATCCCTTTATTAAAGTTTTCGTTCATGGTTTTGGCAACGCATTTATTTTGCTTTATTCAGTTTTAGTCAGTTGCTTAGAGCACAGCTAAGTTAAAAGTTACTTAGAAGTTATAACACAGCAACTAGCAACCGCAATCAGATGCTGACATCTGAAACTAAGTTGCGAAATACATATGGAGTGTAGAGTAGAAGGAGAACCATCTTATAAGGTGCGAAAGTTGAAAAAGTGTCCCAATATATACTGAAAATAGAGGTTCCAAAACCTACCACAATAGCGCTGGCGTCTGAAAAACTACGATATCAATATAGCTGTTGTAGACGGAGTGAAGTCAGCTGAATTAAAATATTTAAAAAATTTCATGACTAGAGTAGTTAGTAAAATGCCAGTATACAAAACCTCAACTATTTACGTAGTACAAAACCAAGCGGATTGGTCGGTCCTTGTTTATTTCTCCATCTTATTCTAATAAATTTTGGCGCTTTTTTTTTTAAATTTATCCTATGCTACTGCAGCGCCACCCTTATTGGACGCGTTTTTAGTGACACTTTTCATATTCGCTGTTTTCATGAAATCTAGCGCTTTTTGTGTTATCCTAGAGCTGAATGAGTTTTTTTTTATCTGGCAGCACTGCCCAAAAACCCTCTATTAAGAAGTAACTTTCCTTTCAGTTTTAAGCGCGTTCTGTTCCCAGTTACAGTGAGTGTGTTTTATGCGATGACCGTAAATAAAGCGCAAGGTCAAACTTTACGCGTTGTAGGAGTGTACCTCAGTACTGACTGTTTTGCACATGGCCAACTCTATGTTGCTTTTTCCCGCATTAGTAGCCCCCGTAACCTTTTTGTGTATACCCCGGCTAAGCCTACTTCTAACGTCGTTTACACAGAAGCTCTATCATAAACGACTTAGAACTTTGATGATAATGATTTATTTTGTTACCACTTATTGATACAGTAATGAAATAAATCGTTTAATATTCTCTTACCTAAACGACAAATTCTTTATGTAAAACCTGTATACGCGAGCTACGCCGCGGGCACAGCTAGTCTCTTTAATAAAACTATGATGATAATGAAAATTGTGCAACAATTGCAGACAGACCAATTTTTATCAATTTACATATATATTAGTAATTGAAATAAATACCTTATCAATTTTCATATTTTTGATAGACATCACATTATTATCTATTGAAATTATTACACTTTTAAAATAAAATAACAAAAATACTAAAAAAACTGAACGTTACAATTTTTTAATAATTTTAAAAATCTAATAATTTAATCATATATATGTAATTTATTTATATTATTTCATATATTAGTAACTGAAGGCAAAATATACAACTTTTTCCATTTGATGATAGATGGCGCTGTTTTGAATACGAAATCGGTGTAGTTTCAAATTATTTTACCAAGATTATAACTATATTTTAAACTTTATTTACAAATATGGTAATATGGTATTTATTTGAAAAACACCCGTCATTCCGCCTATAACTAAGATACAACAGAAAATTAACATCTAAAGGAAATTAATATACTTAACCTTCCTTTTTTGAAGTTCCGTAATCGGATAAAAAGTAGCCTATAAGTTGCCCCGGGTTACTGACTACCTACATACAAAATTTCATGTAAATCGGTTCAGTAGTTTTTGCGTGAATCCGGAATACACAGACAGACAGACAGACAGACAGAAAGACAGACAGACAGACAAAAATTCTAAAAACCACTAATTTGGCTTCAGAACCCTTTATTTAGTACCCTGGACTTGTTTTTTCAAGAATATATTAGAATTACAGACACGACTTTTCTACAGATTTATTATATGTATAGATTAACAAAAGATAAAAATTCTTAGTATATATCAATATAATTATTTATATTTTTATAGTATAATAATTATTCATTATTATTATTCAATACAGAATTACACTCTATAAAAGTCCACTGTTCAACAACAAAGGCCTCCCATAGAGTGCATCATAGGGGATTCCCCCTTACTCTACTTCCTACTTACCATAGTTGTGACTTTTGGTAGGCGGGTTGCCAACCGCAATTTTTTATAATTTTACGCAATTATTTACAATCGCAATCTATTTCAATTTTGAGTTGGTACTAGGAAGATGCTGCTGCTTATCTCCTGTTTCAGTTTCCCTCTGTCAGCTCTTACGACATCCACGAGACGATATGGCGCAGTATTCTATTTCGAAAATATGTGATCTAAAAAATGATTAAGAACACACTTTGGGGTAGCTAAGCGGCTGAATTATCTTATGTCTGCATACGTCTTATAGGCGGTAATTTTACTTTTACTTCTATTCTAGATGTAGCCTACATTGGAGCTTTAAACCCCGACCACTACGAGCTATCTAAATTGTTCCTTGATAATGGTAAACACGTTCTGTGCGAGAAACCACTCTGCCTTAATTACAAACAAACCAAAAGCTTAATTAATTTCGCGAAAACCAAGAACTTGTTTCTAATGGAAGCAGTGTGGTCTAGATTCTCGCCTGCATATTTAGTGTTGGAAAAGGAAATAAATTCTGGAAAACTTGGAGAAGTTCAATACGTGGAGGTCAATTTTGGAGTACCTATTGCAGCAGTAGACAGGTTACGGTAGGTTCATGCAGCTTTTATTTCAAAAACTAAAATCCAAGTGAAAGGGAAAGGAAAGTCTTCATCTCGCGCCCTGCAGCAGAGATCAACCAATTATTGACCTTCTATTCACAGAACAATACCACACCATGTTGGGTTCGAGAACAAAGAGCTGGGCGTGACTCCTGAGTGGACGTTCGATTCAGAACCTGTCTCCTCTTTCTCAAAAGAAAGGTTTGAGACTAAGATTACGGATCCAATCACGTCAGTCATTAGTGGACTGTATCTCTTCTCTTGCCCTAACTATTTAGGGTAAACGCTGAGGATCTTGAAATTATGGACTTTGAATTGAATGGATATTTTTTACGTGGTAGAGCCATGCCGCAACTATATTAATAGTATAGTTGTAGCACGAATGGATTGGCTCGGCCGGGGAAGGAACACGCTCTCACAGAATACCAGCGTAAAATAGCAGCTTAACGCTGCTGTGCTTCGTATGGTGAGTGTAGGGAACCGGAGATCCTTTTTACTGGAAAAGAGGCATTCTATCTTAGTCCTCACGGCTGACAACGCATCTGCCTTTTAATTCGCAAACGAAGATAGATGCAGATGTCTATGGGCCACAGCAACCACTTACCATCAGGTGGACTGTGTGATCGTTTGTCACCCTAATTTTATAAAAAAAAAAACCGGCCAAGAGCGAGTCGGACTCGCGCACCGAGGGTTCCGAACAAATCCGTAGGTACCTATATAAGTTTAACATTATTAAAAATATTTTTATTTTAGGATGTAACTAAAAATTTATGCTTTTCGCAATTTTTCCTTTATCTGTGCTATGATACGTTGCTTCGTACCAAATTTTAAGATTCTGAGCTCACGGGAAGTAACCTGTAGGTTTTGATTCCCTTGCGAATGTCGAAAATTTGCGGCATAAACGGCTGTATCTTTTGCTTGTGTTGGCTTAGAAGTTTGATTTTTTCACAGCTCCAAGGGACAGTAGACTTGAGTATTTGATATGAATTTCAGCTTGATACCTACACGCGTTCCTGAGAAAAAGGGTCTTGACAGACAGACAGACAGACGGACAACAAAGTGATCCTATAAGGGTTCCGTTTTTTCCTTTTGAGGTACGGAACCTTTAAAATGAAACATTGATTAAATTAGGAAAGCCCCCTTTGGAAATGCGATATTGAAAATTTCACTACTTTCTAAATTTCCCTACCACTTTCCCTAATTGCTTTTCTTTCTTGATTTAAAACTGGAAACTATAGCTGGTCCCAAACGATTTGTATCCTTTGTCTTCTTCTGCGTGCATGCACTGCAGGTAACAGGCCTCGGGGCATTTCCCCATTGCCTGGGCATTCCTCTCGGCCCATGACTATGGGCCGGTCATGGGTGCCTTCATGGCATTTATCTTATATGTACTGCGACCGGATTCGGTTCCGCGGTCGCTGTACGTTGGTTAATGTTTTTTTCCTAAAAAATATGGCCAATGCCCTGAAAATGGCGGGTAATATGGACGATTTCCTGAAAAAGGCGCCTAATTCGGCCTGTGCCTGAAAAAGGCGCCTAGTTCGGTCTCGGGTGTTCCAAGTGAGTCGTCTTATAGGCGGCTAATACGGCCAGGCGTCTAAGTTGGCCATTCTGTGGCATTGTGGATTTTACTCGACTCCCTAATCTATGGAGGAGTTCTCTTGGTAATGGCCGCCCGTCCGGGGGGCGGGCATGTAGCGGCGCGAAGTTATTTAAGTGTGGGTGTGGCCCGTTGTCAGCGCGGTTAAACATGCCGCGCGACAAACGGACATCAAATTCTTCTATGCATACCATTACCGTTATCACGGGTCGAATATATAATTTATAGATCTTCAGCTTCGTCTTGATTGGTAGCTTGGATGCCAGTACGGAACGCAGCGCCGCCCGCGCACCTCTCGCGTTGCGGACAATGAGATCGACGTGCGCGATCATGCGCAGCATTCTGTCGATCCGGCATCAAAGATACGTCACGGCCTTCTGGTATGCGATGTCCTGGCCTCTGAGCGTCAGTGGCGGTGGAAGGTTTCTGAAGCGGCGAGTGAGCAGAGCGGTCGTCTTATCAACATTGACGGCCATCCTCCACTCATCCAGCCATGCTGGCAGCAAGTCCAACAGCCTCTGCATTCTGGCGGTGGCAAAATGGGGTCTTCTGGACGAGGTGAAGTAGGCGCTAAACGATTTGCATATATATCAGCCTCCTATTATACCATGAAAGCTATACTCTAAAGAGAACCGCGCGTCATACGCCATTTCGACATAAACTAATCACTGATTTTCACCATAACATTTCCATTATAAAACAATAACTTTAATATCCAAAAGAGTGTCATTACTAAAAGTACAAAAAGACACATTACAATAACACATAAAAGAATAATAAAAATTATCAAAATACAGCAATTTTACAAGATATTGTCAGGGTCATAAATCTTAAATATCTATTAGTCTATTACACACATTCGAAACAATGATCTTTATTAATAAACATGAATATTTTAAACAATACAATCGTTTAATTCACAAATTATGTTTTAAGCAGCGACATTAATCTTTAATTCAATTTTAATTTTCTTATACAGTTTTGTTATCTCGCAATTTTACCCATAAAATTAAATGCTTTTAACATATTATTATTTTATACAACATTCCTTAAATATTAATCACATACATTTTTATAAATTACTGAAATTTTCATGAATACAATTATCGCTTTAAGCAATTAATATTTTAATAGAATCAGTCGTTACTTTGCGGAAAAACCATTATATTAAAGCTATTTATAGAGCGGATTTATGCGAAGTCAATTTTTTAAAAGCTTCAATTAATATTTTTTTATCTTTTAGTACTATTATTTGACGCTGTTACATACCTAATATATATATAACAAAATTAACAACCAATCTGAACACGACCCTCGATTCCTTATAGGAGGCTCTCGCCATCTCGCTCTGAAATTACAGCTGTCTCTGTTTTTAGTATATAATACTATTTCTTTCTAAAATATGCTATACTTATCTAGCCATTATATATCTAATCTGTTATCACAAAAAACGTAACACATATCTTTGGAAGTGAAGACTAGAAATGAGTTGGAGGATGACTCGAACTTTAGGTCTAGTCAGTTTGAATAGCCTATCATGTAGAGGGTGTCATGGGTGACCCCCAATAGTTATATTAGATAGGTTGAATAGAGACAAAAAGTTCTCATTACACTGCTAGGGGGTCAAATTGGCCAAAAATCAAAAAATTTAAAATTCTTATTTTTGGAAGTAAAGATTTTTTTTCGGCTATGACTCCTATGAGGCTATGAGTCTTTACTTCCCGCATCCCACTTGTTAGATTATGCAAATAATTAAACATTTAATTCTTTATTCGTATTACACAGCCGATTGTCATATAATGCATGACTAAGTTAATTCAAACATCTGTTTCTATAAAAAATTGAAAAAAGTTCTCTTTAATATAAATTTGGCTTATTATTTAAATAAAACTAATTTTACAGATTTTATCGCGTATATTAACTTATTTTATATTCCCGACGTTTGGCTTATTATTTTGAAAATAAGGAAGTAATTTTTGGAAATATTAAGTCGGGTCACCTTGATGATCATGATAGTTTAAAATTAAAAATGTTGTACAACCGACTTCAATTTAAGTTACTCGTATTAAGAATAACTCAAAAACTATTAGTTAGACCTTGATGAAATTTATAAGGAACTACATGTGAAGCACCAGATTTTAAATGAAAAAAAAAATCATCGAAATCGGTTCACCCAGAAAAAAGTTATGAGGTAACACACATGAAAAAAAAGAAAAAAATATACAGCCGAATTAAGTACCTACTCCTTTTTAAGGACAGTAGAAAAGTAAGTTCAATTTTAATTCAACCGGGGTCAGTGATACAACTTGACCTGTCTGTTTGTAATGTCAGTTGGTAATATAGTCAATACCAATTATCCGACTTCAAAATAAATCTCCCTTTTCGAATACAAATGTACTTGCTCGGATTTTTGCTAAAATTTTACAAAAAATTTTTGGACCTAAAAAACATTACGCAGTCAAAATCCTATTATTATATAGAATAAGGGTGACAATCGAGCACACAGTCCAACTGATGGTAAGTGGTTGCTGTGGCCTTAGACATTTAAATCTATCCTCTTTTGCGAATCAAAAGCAGATGCGTTGTCAGCCGTGAGGACTAAAATGGAATGCCGATTTTCCAGTAAAAAGGGTCTCCGGTTCTCTACACTCACCATACGAAACAGCAGTATTAAGCTGCTATTTGACGCTGGTATTCTGTGAGAGTGTGGTCCTTCCCCGGTCGAGCCACCCCTTTCGTGCTACGACTATGCAATTAATATAGCTGCAGCATGGCTCTACCACGTATAAAAGTGTCTACGAAAAGTGCCTAGTCTCTGCATTTTTTTTTGCATCAGAAACATGTTTTGTTGCATTTTGCTCTTTATGAAAATAATCTGAAACTACCTATTTGTCTGATAAACTTTTCAGTTTATTTTTCCAAATTGAAAATAATAAAAATTATACGATATACTATAGAATAGAATAGAATAGAATGATTTTTATTCAATATTGATTATTACATAATACTAAAGTCTAAAGTCATTTTTTTATTTACCACTGGTTCGGAAAATACCTCTGTCCTGGGAAGAACCAGCAAGGAACCCAGCGGGACTTTTTTTTAAACATAATTTCACTTAACAATAATTTTGTTTATACATTTTTAAATAAATTTTCATAGAACCAGCATGGTGGCGATTACCTTATTCCTAGGGGTTATTTATTCATTCATGTAGTCCTTGATATTATAATAACCCTTTTTGTACAGTTTTTCTTTAATAAAACTTTTAAACTCGTTTATTGACAAACTTTGAACACGTTCTGGGATTTTGTTGTAAAAGCGAATACATTGCCCCATAAATGAATTGCTAATTCTGTGGAGTCTAGTAACTGGCATTACAAGCTTTTGTTTGTTCCTATTGTTTAAGGTATGTGTTAGGGATCGCAGTGGGCTGTATTATTGAGTACGCTAGGGAAACTGCTTAAAGAAAGGATGGTACTGTCGAACTATACTGTATTCAAACTATTTACAATAGTGCCAACTATTAATTACACTATTATACAGAGGGGAGTCTTCTTAATGGAGTCTTCTTGAGTCTTGATTTTCTTGATTTCTCTTGCTGTTTTCTTCTCTTCGAGTGCCGCTTCCGAAATGAACAGCTCACCGACCGAGACGCCCTTCTTATATCTCGCCAGAGTGCGTCTCAGGTCGTGAGTAGCGTCGTCCGCGATGCCGCGCGCTCATTGGTCGGCGACATCGCGTGATCTGCTGCCGGTGTGCGGGGTGCGCGGGGCGCACCGGGGTGTGAAGGGGCGACGGGGCGGCGGCCTCCTCGCTGTCCGCTACAGTATGAATATCCTTATTCTTATTAAAGCTATTTATGTTTTTATGTACATACATTACATTTTCATAAATATATTGCGATGCAAAAGTTAATATGTCTATTTCTTAAAATTTTTCTCTGAGGGACTCTTTACAATTTAGATTGTAAATCGCCCGTACGGCTCTCTTTTGCAAAACAAATATAGCTCCAATATCAGTCGCATTACCCCATAGCAAAATTCCATAAGACATTACGCTATAAAAGTAACTAAGATACACTAACCTAGCTGTCTCAACATCTGTGAGACTTCTAATCCTTCTTACAGCATATGCTGCAGGACTAACTAAAAACTAAAACGTACTCTTCAGCAAAAAGGGCTTGTAAACACACTATTAAAATTGTATATTGCTAAAAATCTTGCTGAGCTATAGAGAATTTTAGAGCTAACGTTTAATTTTCTCATATCGTCTTAGCATCATTGATTTGGTTTTTGAAAATATCGTGTTGCTCTAGTTGCATAACTTTAGTAATCGCCATAAGATTAAAACATTCCAAAATGTTTTTGAGTAGAGTTAGTGTACCTATCTCCACTTTTAGTTTAAGGTTTATAGAAATACCTAGTACGTCCATGTAAATACCCTCCAACGTAAAAGGAAATACCACAAAAAATGCTCGAACGCCTCGAAGATTGCGAAAACTGTCCATCCTTTTATATTTAGTCTGATTATACAGGGTTATTTTTCAAAGAGTAGCCAAATTTTATATTGAAGTTGAAATAAAAAAATTGATATACCGATAATAAATTTTTTGCAAATACGAGTAAATAAGGCTTCTCCTTTTAATTGAAATTATCCCAAATTGAATGTGCTTTATAGGCAACCACTTCTCTTACACGCGCTCCTGTGTGTGTGTGTGTGCGATTCAATTCACGTTTTTGTTTCTCAAGTTTTTTCTACTGTTTACTTTCTAGTGACACGCTTTCTACTAATACTTAAGATAATAACTACATGACGCGAATTATAATTCCAATTTTCTTTTTATTAAATAAAATTAAAAAAATATATTTTTATAACCGAGCGTCTTTATTATCGCGTATATAAAAAATTGGAGTAAACTATTTACAACTAAATTACCCAAGTAGTCCCAAAATCCAATATTGGTAGGTCAAAATGGAATCCATTTCTCTTGTAGGGATGTCAATAACGAACACACCACATATTAAATAACCGTTTATTCACTAGGTAAATTCAAAGTAGCGGATCGGAGCGCGAACAAGCGGGCTGACGGTGTGGGACAGTCGGATCGACTAGCAAAGCTGGAAAACCTTCCGAAGATTGTCGAACGGTCGAACAGGCTGGGCCATATTCTTTGTACATAGACGAGCACGTTTTCTTAAAATATTTTTTACACTTATTACCTGTTTTTGAGCACTTTTTTCACATGGTAGACCCATGCTGAAACTATATTATGTTTGTAGCACGAATAAGTCGACTTGGCCGGGGGCACCACACTCTCACAGAATAGCAGCGTAAAATAGCAGCTTAATGTTGCTGTGTTTCGTATGGTGAGTGTAGAGAACCGGAAACCCTTTTTACTGGAAATGAACCATTCATAGCCACATCATCCAGTTACCAGCAGATGAACTGTGTTCTCGTTTGTCACCCTTATCCTATATAAAAAAAAACTTTTAACTACAGTGAACGCAGCAATAATTTTACTGTGGCACTCTTCTTAACTTTGTTCTTTTTTGACGTAAAAACGACTCTTTATACACTGATAAAAAACTAACGGTGAAAGTTCCAGCGAGTTTGTAGAACATAGTATAGGGCCACCACCACAGTCAATGCGCAATCCACCTATCTTCATAATCACTATTTATGTTATCGCTCACTGCACTTGAATAGTTTGTCTGTAAATTGTTCTTCGATTGGTAGGTTAATTACGACACGTACGATAATTTCTCGTCGCGGTAAAGACTACTTTAGTATCTTTGCTATCCAAGTAAACTTTCATTGCTTAAAATGTAATATCGAACCATTTCATAGTATCCGCGGTTCAAATAATTTCGATACGTCATTGGTAACGAAGCGTATGTAATGAGGTCACGGTCAACTCTGTCAGCTGTCGGCCGGTCGAGTTGACGTAGATACTTAAAGGTGTAACGGTAAATTGAAGGAATGGCCGCGGGAAGACGCGCGACAAGGTACCTTACCAAGCGACCCTTACGAATGTGTGCATGCGTAAAAGAGTACGCATCAGATATTTATGAATGGCAATCAGTTAAAATAATGCATTATCAGGTATTTTGAGTTTAAAAGATAAAAATGACAGAATGTTTGAGATTTTTTTTTAATTAATTTTTCTTAGTTATTGCTAAATAACCCTGTAGATATGACTGACAAATTTTTATTAAATAACTTATTTACGTTTCAGATTAAAGGAATTAGGAGGCAGCGCTCTTCTTGATATTGGCATATACACACTTCAATTTGCTCAATTTATTTTCAAAGAAGAACCTATCAAAGTAACAGCCATTGGAGATCTAAATGAATTTGGAGTCGATTTAGTCGACACTATTGTCCTTGAATACAAAGGTGGCAAAAGGGCAGTGCTTAATATTAATTCAAATGTTCGACTTTGGAATAAAGCAACTGTTTATGGAAATAAAGGCAGAGCAACGGTGTGTAGTTTTTCTACTTATTAAAAAATTACGTTCTATGTATGTCCCACTACCGGTGCAGACCTAATTGCTGCGAGAATTATCGAGCAATTAGCCACCGTGCTTCTCCAGTTCCTGTTGACAAAATTCTCTAAATATTTTATTTCTAAAAAATCTATTAAATATAAAAAATTCTAAAAAATCTAGAAATATTTTATTTCTCAGTCTTGCAGGTTTCCTCACAATTTTTACCTTCACCGCAGAGCACGGGGTAACTGGTACTTAAAATTATTGTAATTATCAATTTTATTGGTGCCGGCTAGGATCTAACTCGATTGCTAAATTTTGCCCCAGAGTTTCCACGATCTTATTTACAGTTATTTATTATTGTTATAATATTCTGCTTAGTTATGTATATATATATATATATATATATATATATATATATATATATATATAGTATATACAACTTAATTAGTTATTTCTTTCCTATCTAGATATTGAAAGAATCAACTTTTGAACAATATTTTAAATGTATGAATTGCATTGTTACTCATAACTTTTTAATTTACGAGTGTTATAAACAAAACTGAACACCTAAAATTCTGAAAGTGTACTTGTGTGTACATCTATAGCCTGCATAAATATACTCAAAGTTGTCAAACCAACTAACTGCTATGTCGCAACTCCTCGAATAATCCCAGTGAAATTGTTAAAACCCAGTCGGTAACAACTTGCGTGCAAAATCACAATTCTATATTTTTGGATCCGCTTATGTTAATCGCACCCTCAATCTTATCACATTAAAAGCTATACTGGGTTCGGATATAGGTGCGTAAAGTGTCTGGCTTTAAAAAGCGAGTAAATTGACGTAAGATAAATCGTAAATTTTTTCGCAGTTTCTTATCACATTTTTTTTCAAGGCCGCGCGAGCTTCGAATTTCCCACCAATACATTTAACGCAATGTAACGTATACAAAAATAGATACAATTAGAAAAATATGCATTTCATAAATAATATTTCCATTCTAATGACTATATTATTACACTCTAATAAAAAATCTCTATTTCAAAAATAATTATGAGTAATAGAGTAAGAGTAAAAAAGTACATTTAATATTAGAACGACAAACCAGCTAACAGTCGACTAGTGATTACTATTACATGCCATGGATACATGATACTAACAAGATCAGTGTGTCACTTGTCACCAATGAGGACTAAAATAAAATGCCTCACAGCCTGTTTTATACTATCTACCATTTAAAGTCTAAAAAAGCAGTTTGTTTACTGCCACTTGGCCACAGAAATAGGCAAGAATGTGGTACCTCTACTCGACTCAATTTACGCAAAAGCTTCTATTCAATCATTCATTACAGTTAATCAAAAATCCAGTGCTGAACACAGGCCATACCCCCATTGATTGCCTCATAGGGCATTCAAATCTTATATTGCAAATATAAATATTTGCCACTCTTGGCAGGCCAATTGGCAAACACATTTTTTAACTATTAATGAGTGTAGGGACGTGAGAGGCGACAGCGAGAAACCGAACAGGAGATGGGCAGCAGCATCTTCCTGATCACAACTATAAAAGTTTTCATCAATGAGCTTGTTTTTTGGTCAATCAGACGAAACAGGGTGAATAATTACTAAGATCCATCGATATAATATATGTACTACGCACTAAATTTCGCATTCCAAACATTGACTATGTTCAATTCAACTGAACTGTGCTGCAATCCGTACACTAAACTAAATATTGCGTAAATTGAAGATTTGTGAATTCCATAAGATAGTTATTATTACATTTTATTTAGAAATATGTTGGTTTAGATTAAAATAAAAGTATCTTTTATTAAATTCTTATATACTTATATTTTATATTAATATCTTATTTAATATTAAATTAGTCTCCGCGCGTACGCGACTCTACTATCTCCCGCGCATGCGCGAAGACATAGAGTAGCGCACAATTTTTGTTTGGAATAGCTTCTCCAGTAGGTAGTACATATAACTCAATGCTGATCCTTGCAGTCACGTGAATCTCGGCAATACTAAAGTTATACAGCTTAAGCATTAGGCCTATTTGTCAGGCGAATAGTAAGAAGTGACGTGTATGCGTCACGTTAATGCTGAAGATTGCTTTGTGGGTGGGTGGCCTCAGCAGTTGACTACTGCAAGCTGATAACGAAATGTATGCTATAGCCAACATAACAGATGCAAAGAACCCAAAAAATACCAATTTAATAATCGTGATGGTGACTATTTATTCATATTTTCAGGTAGAAGATCCTTTTCATTTCCCTGAAATTGTGATTCATGCTGATGGCACAGTCGAGAAAATCCCTTTGCACACCTCAAGCATTCCATACAACTTTGGAAACAGTGCGGGGTTGGTTTATGAAGCCCTAGAAGTAGCCAGATGTATAAAAGAAGGTTAGAAAAGATTGCTTTATATTCTAAATTTTGGAACATTTCGATATGTGTACAATTTAAAACATCATCAATAGTGTCCTGTCCCTGCAGAAAATTCTTTTTTTTTGGAAGTGTGCTTAATGTGCAACGATTACAAACAAGATTTAAAGTAATTTTAACTATTATTATCCAGTGCTCGACTGTTATCCCACCTAATGGTAAGTGGTTATGCAGCCAAAGATAGTAAAGCGCACTGACTTAACTTTACAAAAGCCTATATTTACTCTTGTTTTGAAGACACCTACATTGTAATCTGTTGGAAAGGCATGTGGTGGCAAATTATTCCACTCATTTGCTGTATCTATGCATTATTTAAACTACGAAGCAAACCGTTTGGCTCGAATGCGTGGCATGTCAACAATAAAGGGGTGGTGACTAGCCGAACATCTTGCTCATGTTGTCCGATAGTGGAAAGAATTAAGTCGTGTAATTACTGCGCACACTCCGGAGTGTATCTTTATTAATATTTGTTCACTGTACATCATAAGCCATTTAATATTTTATTTCATTACAAGGTTTAAAGGAATCACCGCGGATGTCTCATCAAGAAAGTCTCATATTGGCAAAACTTGAAGATGAAGTTCGTAAACAATTGGGCGTAGTCTTCGACGTTGATAGCAAGGATTTCCCTTGATTTATTGCACTATTACAATCACATGACAAAACACAAATGAAATTAATAAAAAAGCTAAACACAGTAATACTTTTACTTATTTAAAAAATAACCATTATGTGACCTGTTTCGTTCGTGATATGATGCACACTCTAACATATGACAGACACTCTAACATAATTATATTCATCTTTCTCAAGAATCTTTCTAAAGGTTTAGTTTTATAGGCCGTTTATTATATTTATGGGGCGATCGTCTTAGTTAGGACCCTTATTTACGTTAACTTAGTTCTTTTAGGTTTCTCTTGGAAGAATTAATAATCACTGACGCAATCAAAAGCCGTTGGTAGTGCTTTATAATTATTTTAGGCCTAAAGAACCCAGCTCACAAAGGAAGGGCTCCAAACGGATAAGAATATTAAATCGTCCCTATTCCCTTTATATATAAAAAAATGTGTGTGTGTATATGGAGTCGTGTGGGGGAAGTACACGGCTTCAGAAATCCAGTGTGCAGTGAGCGCCAACCAACCAACGTGCTCCCCCGAAAAGGAAAGTTAAGTTGGGAACTGGTACCATAGTTCTCATCAAAATAACTGGTGAACCAATAAGCGAAGGTCTGGCCCCTTGGTAGTGCGTAAGCACAAACATTGACAGAAGTTGCGCTTGCGCATGTCAATGCGTGTAAACGCCATACGAGTACAGGATACGATCAAATTCAGCCACAGTGAATGTACGTCACACGGTTTAAGCAACACGGCGAAATAATAGCCACGCTGGCTATAAAAAGCCCTTCGTGGACGTCAGATCAGATCGCCGCTCCTGCAGACGTGATGTAACCAAAAGACAGTACAGAACAGAACAGAAACTTTTTTATTCAATATAGATTATAAATAATACTTATTGAAAGTCACTCTATTGTTTAATTACCACTGGTTCGAAAAAAAACCTCTGTCCTGGGAAGAACCAGCAAGAAACCCAGAAGGCCTTTTTTAACAGCTTACAATCATGTATGTTACACAATTAACCACACAAAACAAATTAGAAATAGCTTGGTAGCGATCACCTCATTCCCAGGGGTTATTATCATCCATAAATTCCTTAATATTATAATAACCCTTTTTATACAAGCATTGTTAAATTTTTGAACTTTGAGCACGTTAAATTTTGTATATTTTCTGGGATTTTGTTGTAAAAGCGTATACATCGCCCCAAGAATGAATTACTGATACGGTGTCGTCGAGTAGCTGGTACTACTAGTTTGTGTCTGTTCCTAGTATTTACAGAATGAATATCACTTACTTTTGTATAACTAACTTTATTTTTGTGTACGTACATTACATTTTCATAAATATATTGAGAGGCCAAAGTTAATATTTCCTTAAATTTTTGTCGGAGCGACTCTTTAGGCGTTAAATCACAGATTGCTCTTATGGCCGTCTTCTGTAAAACAAATATAATTTCAGTGTCAGTCGCGTGTCCCCATAACAAAATACCATACGAAATTATGCTATGAAAATAGCTAAAATAAACAAGTCTAGCTTTTTCCACACTGGTAAGATTTTTAATCTTTTTACAGCATATGCTGCAGAACTAAGCTTCTTGCTAATTTTGATATATGGGGGCTCCATTGAAGCTTCGCGTCTGGTGTTATTCCAAGAAAAATGGTGGTATCGGCAAGACTCAGTTCTTCCCCATTTAAAATTACTTAAGTATTTAATTGTTTAACATTTGGAGTCATGAATTTCATACATTTTGTTTTAGTGCCATTTAAATGCAAGTTATTACCATTAAACCAAGTTACTAATTTAGATATAGCATTATTTATTTCGTCATATTTTAATAAGTGTCGTTTTAATTTGTTATGTAAGGTAAGTCATCAATATATACAAGAAACAGAAAGGGGCCGAGAATTGAGCCTCGAGGCACGCCCATTTTACTAACAACCCGGAAGAGCTCACACTATTAATGACAACTTTTTGCGTTCTGTTACTTAAATATGAAACAATTAATTTGAGAGCATTACTACTTACGCCATAGTGTTGTAGTTTCCTGATTTATGTTTCATGGTGAACACAATCGAAGGCTTTGGATAGGTCACAGAATACATCCAAAGCATCTCTGTGAATGTCTGAATTCTCCCATGTATTAAAAGTATATTTATTCAGCTCAACACCAGCATCAGTTCTCGAGCGACCCCTTGTGAAACCGAATTGATTTTTATGAAGTAAAACTATTTACATTAAAAATATTTAACATTTGATTAAGAATAATTTTTTCAAAAATTTTACTAAGTGTTGGCAGTACAGAAATGGTCTAAAATCGGCGGGGTCTAATGTACTACCAGATTTAAATAAAGGCATTACTTTATTAAGCTTCATTAAACCAGGAAACAGTAGTATTACAGTATTACAATTATAAGATAATAATAATAAAGCCATCAAAAAGGGTTTGTGTAACTGACGTTGAGTATATTCATTTTTCGATCATGTTTGTCTCATCTACCAACAAGTTGCCCTCAATAATTCAAAGGTGGGATATAATCCCACAACATTGATATTATACATGATAGAGCCACGCTGCAGCTATATAATGGTTATAGTTACATAGGGCATACTGAAGGTTCTGTGCTCCTGGCCACTCATAAATAATTGAATTACGAATGTATTTTTTAAAACATAGAAACTCATATTATGTTAAAACCGGCTCGAAAGACCATTAATATGTACGAGCTGCTGTGCTGTACAATCTTAGAAGATGATAGAAATGATAAAGGCTTGAATTACTATGTAATTTATTCTGATATTATTGATAATGAGTACAGTGCGCGACGGCGAATGATTGCGTACTGAATTAATGAGAATGAAAAATGAAACAATAAGGCTGAATATATAAAAATGCTGATGTGCAGAAATGTGATTGATTGATGTGCTGATGATTTTTTTACGTGGTAGAGCCATGCTGCAGCTATATTAGTAGTATAGTTGTAGTACGAATGAGTCGGCTCGATCGGAGAAGGACCACGCTCTCACAGAATACCTATCAGCGTAAAATAGCAGCTTGACACTGCTGTGTTTCGTATGGTGAGTGTAGATAACCGGAGAACCTTTTTACTGGAAGCGAGGCATTCCATCTTAGTCCTCACCGTTGACAACGCATCTGCATTTTGATTCGTAATCGAAGATAGATGTAGATGTCTATGGGCCACAGCAACCACTTGCCATCAGGTGGACAGTGTGCTCGTTTGTCACCCTTATCCTATAAAAAAAGGTATGTATTTAGTGTATTAAGTTCAACCCATATATCTTTACAGGGCGAAGTTTTGGTTTCACACTGATCTGTCTTCATTTTTGATGCAGAGAATATCGTCCGAATTCATGTGGAAAATAGGTTTCTGTAGCGAGCAAAGGTGAGTCTCAGCGTCGAACTGTGTACATCTTCGAACTTCTTATTCTGATAATGGTACGTACGCGTCCTTTTGGATGTTGATCGCAGTATGATCTGCGATAGGTGTGATGCGGACCATCGGTTTTTGTACTTCCTGAGGGATAGAGATAAGCCTGTAAATCTCTTAGGTATCCCCGCTTACCAATGGGATTTTGATCTCGAAAATAAAGTATTGGATTGTCATCCTTGCTTCTACTTCCAGTAAATGATAAGAGTCTGGATAAGCTGTTTTGGATGTTGTTTATAGGCAGAGCTGATTTCTTTAGTAATTGGCCAGAGATAATAATATTTAACTCAGTTGTTCAGGCGTTAATAAATAAAATATTAAACTGCCCATAACCCATATGCCCACCAACGTTTCTTGAATGTTTTTTAGATTGGCCAAGTATTGTTTACTATCATGGAGGAGAGGATAAATTCATTAATGATTTTTTCGGTCTGAATTTCTTTTAATATGATGTTGGCTTCTTTTTCTAGCTCTATGATATGGTCATTGAAGATCTTGTGCTGCTTGTTAATAGACTTCTCGATTCGACTTAAAAGGTTGTATTCAGCTTCAACTACTGATGTTTGATTTTTCCATAGAAGATCGAGATGTTTCTGATTCATCCTGATTAGATTGGTGTCTTCCTCGTATTTTTAAGCGAACTCGTCGTCTAACACACCGAACAAGTTATGCGCTAGATATCCGACACCGTTGATAAGCCCGCGCCCAAAGAGAATATAATCACTACGTTTACCCGCGCCGGCGTCTCGAGCGCGTGTATTGCTGACCGAGCAACATATTGTTATTATGTTTCAATTCCACGTATAGATATTTTATTTTTAGACTGTATCGAGTGTGTCAGAGTGTTAGAAGTATTGTCTATGGTTCGCTCTCGTGTCTATGTTGCATGTGCCTTTCTGTATTATGTCTAAATAAAATCCGTATTTATCTTATGAATCGTTTACCCTTTTGAATCCAAGCGCACTCTAATAGGTTATGGGCCCAGAGTGCCCGTAGTGGAAGCTGATTTTATAGTTAAATCGGATTTTCGGAAAGTTTGACTTGTACGAGGTTAGGCGTCACGCATTCGGCTGTTAAGTGATTCGTTATGGCGAATCCCGGAAATACTCCTTTTGGAATCAAGCCATTTGATGGAACCAATTTTGGTAATTGGAGCTTCCGGATTAAATTGCTTTTGGAGCAGAATGGAGTGCATGAAGTTTTGAAAAAAGAACCCCCATTAGACGACGCGTAACTCAAGGTGTTCAATATAGAAGATGTAAAAGCTCGAAATATTATTGTCCAGGGTCTTGCCGACAACATTCTGCCAATGATCAAAGATAAAGGGAGAGCTAAACTCATTATGGATGCTCTAGCTACAACGTATGAAAAGAAAGGAATGAAGTCTCTTGTTACCGCTCTAAAAACTTGGAGAAAGATGGAATATAAAAATGACAAGCCTCTTCAAGATTTTTAGAAGACTTCGAAACTATGGCAATGGAAGTGAGAGTGGCTGGTGGAAAGCTGGAAGGAGATGAGATTGTTAATCAACTTCTTGTTGCCATGCCCTCTGATTTTAACTCAGTCGTTTC